TCCGATCTCGCCAGGAAGTAATCACGGAGGCTGCACACTTCGCGATTATGCATGGTGAGCGCGCTCAAGAAGCCACGACTACCATGCTTCCACGACAAGTACAACCTCATTACCGACGATCTCGGATGATGCATCCTATGGGACGTCATGGTAGTGCGGACTTTTCTATCCAGGGCGTTAAGTTCAGTCTGAGTCCACCTGAGTATGCCAAAGGTATACATGAGGACAGGCATGACCCAGCCGTTATATGCGTGTGCCTTATTCACACCGGACAAAAGGCTGTTAAGCACTTTGGTCAAGCGTGCATAAAACACGTCGCAAACTGACTGTTTCATACCAGTCTCATCGATACCGATGTTTTGTGACATACCAAGGTATCGGTATGTTTTAGCCTCGGAAAGGGTCCTTAAGTTGACGGGCATAGATAAGTCTACGCCCTCAGAGTTAGCAACCCTTCCCCTTTCAACATGGAGGACCGCACACTTATCCGTCTCAAGCTCCATTCCTATGGAATTGCTAAATTCACAAGTGATGTTTAGCAATTCCATAAGATGGGAGCGACTGGAGGCGAATAACTTGAGGGCATCCATATAGAAAAGGTGGGTCACTTTTGTCCCTCCTCTCCGTAGCTGAAATCTCCCTCCCGGAGCCCTCCAGTAAGGTACTGAGAGGGTTCAGAGAGAGGCAGAACCAGATTGGACTCAGACAATCGCCCTGGAAGATACCCCTTCTTATCCTTATGTGGTCCTTCGCAGCCATCATCCGCTCGCCCAGATGACAAAGGATCGTACTCCACTGCCCCATACACTGCTCGAGGAAGTCTCTAACTGTACAGTCTATCTTGTACAGCTCGAGGACTCTCTTTAGCCATGTATGGGGCACCGAGTCGAATGCCTTTCTGTAGTCTATCCAGGCGGCGGAGAAGTTCCGACGGTTGCGTTTCACCACTTTGCCAATGACCGCGTCAATGAGGAGTGGTTCCTTGGTTCCACGACCACCGCCCCGACATCCATTTTGAGCGCGCGACATCACCTGATTTGAGTCCAGGTGACAAGTGATTCTCGCGCTCAAAATGGATGTTAGTGTCTTGTATATGGTCGGTAGACACGTGATGGGGCGGTATTTGCTCGGGTCTGTGGTACCCTGGTCTTTAGGAACCAAATGAGTGATCCCAGTAGTGAAGTGGCTTGGGAGCGACTTCTGGTTGAGAGCCTCTTGAAACTGTCGGGCAAGCACAGAGTGACACACCATGAACCCCTTCAGCCAGTAGTGATGCAGCCCGTCAAGCCCCGGACTTTTCCAGTTCGGGGCCCTACGGACCGCCTCAGCTACGTCATCCGGCGTTATGATGACGGGGTCCATGGGCGTAATACCCGCACACTGACTCGCCACAACTTCCGTCCAAGGGCCCTCGCTGTGGTTTACGGGCTCTGACCACAGGCCGCGCCAGAATGTTACAGTGTCGGCCTGATTCGGTGCTGGACCCGTTCCACTTACCATTGGTCGCTCCAATGATTCATAGAGCCTCTTCTGATCACTCTGGAAGAGACGATTCTGGTTGAACCGTGTCGACCTCTCGGTATATCGCCGAATCCGCTTTCCCCAAGCAGCGATTCTCTGCTTCAGATCATATAAGCGCTCCGTCAGTTTTTGCGTTATATCCGGCTGGGACAAACTGACATTTGTCCCAGCAAACGCCATCCTGACGGTGCGCACAATTCTTGGCCTGTTGTTGCCTGATCTGAAGCATATCAGTCTGCCGATGAGAGCTCTAGCCTTTGCGATACGTTCCTCAATTCTTCTTCTCCATGCTGGGATAGCGCCACTATGGCCAGTAGCGCGTCCAGCCGTGGAAACCTTGGGGCCTATGATACGGCAGACTGCCAGCGCGGCGCCAAAAAGAATTGAGTCCGTCTCGCAAAGGTCCCGGCTGGCTTCCAAATAGGTCACCAGCATTGGGTTCAGAGCCCTCACGACAGCCCGATTCCGCTTGCTCAGGGCTATGCGGGGAAGTCGCGGTCGATTTTCGGGAGGCGTACTGCGCGTTTCCACAATCGCCTCTTCCAATGTACTCCTCATATGCTCTAATTCCAGTTCCTGGGCGACTGTTCCATCATCGTTTGAATCAACCACAACTGGGGTATTCACGGCGGCATCCACGTTTGCGGGTTGCTCTACCATTTGTGGCGCCGCATCCTCAGCCGTAGCATTCTCATCCGACGAGGGAACAGCCTCACGTCTTAGCCGTTCTAGTTCGGCGACATCAAATATATTTGAGCGCAAGATATACCGAACTCGGTCTGCCAGGTTTTGCTCTGTGACGGTTAAAGATGGCTCCAGCTCAGCAAAAAGACGATGCATCCTAGCCCGATACGCCAAACATCCAGTTTCTTCCCCTTTTGCCCTAAAGTACGCCCGCAGTGCGTTTGCATTCATTGCATGTGACCAACGCATGCGACGTGCTCCACCAGCGGCGGGTGCCGCTTGCTGAGTCCGAGAAGACCCAGCCGACACCAAGCCTTCTGGTGGGGATGATGGATGCGGAGGGCTGCTAGGTGACCGTGCAGCTCCTCGCGCTCGGCTGGCGGCCCGCATGCTGCCGCGTCCAGCGCCAGCTCCAGACGCGCCCCGGCGACCCCCAGGCAGCGGCCCTTTGCGCACTATCTTCTTATCCATCATCCATTATTTGGGCGTCCATTAACGGGAGACGCCCAGGCCCGGCACCGTTTCGTGTGTAGCCATAAGCACAAACGGGCCTCTGCACCCTAAATTCTGCCGAGGCACGGCGCTCACACCTCTCACAAGGCGCTGACTGACTGCGTTGACGTAGCAGTTTTGTCACTTAACTGTTACGTCAGCGGGCGATGGGGGTCGTCAATTCCCTACGCCTTATTATTATTATTATTATAGATTTAGTCACCCCAGTCCGAGACTTACAATAATTTTTATAATTATTATGATCACATATATTATCACAAAACTATAATATTACAAATATAAATACAATCTATATAAATAATATTATTATTTCGGTTATTCTGCCGTCGTACGAGAGAAGGGCACATCTATCATTTTGGTCAAACTGAGATAATTGAGATTAAAGTTTTTACCATATTCTGCTTCATAGTGTGGAAACCTATCGCTTAAAAGAAAAAAAATACTGATGATATATGCGTGAAGGTTAGTACTACTATATTTTTTACTTTTAAATTTTATATATAATTAATTATTAAATAAATTCAAAAAAATCCTCTCAACTTAAAAAAAAATATTTTAAAAATACCACTTACTACAAAAGAAAAGGCATAGTTAACCAAATGTGACCTTTCTTTTTAATATTTCAAGCAAATTGGTCATTGAGTCTAAAAGAAAGGGCACATTTGTCTAATTGCGCCTTTTTAGTGTAAATTGACTTAATGTTTTCTACAAAAAAAAAAAAAAAAACAAAACAAATAATCATGTGAAGAAAATTTAATAAACCATAAAACATATTTATAATATTAATATTGTGGCCATTTCTGGTTAGCTTATCCAAATAACTGAAACAAAACTTAACAAATCTTCTTCTAGCACACCAACATTTAAACAAAAAAAAAAACGTTCAAATATTAAGAACGTTTTTTTATAAATTATTAGGGATAAGCATCTACATACAATTTTGGTTAACAAATAGAACTTATGAATTAGAAACAAAAAGTGCTAATACTTAAACTCAACTACACTTTTTGTTTAGTTAGATACCTAAGGAAAGTAAAAATTAATTACTTTTATTCTTTTTAGGAATAGGTTGGACCCTAACTTAAAAATCAATAAAAATAGTTAATCTAAATCACAGTATGAAAAATAAATCAAAATATTCTTAACTCTTAATAGAGGCAGTAATTAGGAGCATAAATTTTGGTTTTGAACTTTTATATTATTATTTATTGTTCATTTACAGGAAATAGCTTACACCCGTAATTATTAAAGGCATACGAGTTTAATATTTTTTTTAAAATACTATTATTATTATTATAAAAATTAAATGTAACTATAACAAACATAACATGGCATTTGGTTGAATTATCACAATGCAATATATTGGTAATAACTACAAAAAAGTATAAAGAAAATTAAATAATCAGTTTTGCTTAAAATATTAATTTAAAAAATAGTATTTTATTTCAGTCTTCATAAATTTCTGTGAGATCAGCTGAACTGTCGTTAATGGGTAGGGTTTCCCAAAAACCTCTTCTGTTGTCAGGCATGAGTGGCCCAAGCTTGGAAAGTATAGCTGATTTCCTCTCAGATGTTATACCTCGTGGAGAAAGCTTCTGCTTAGGCAATGGAATGCCAATTTAAAGATTTTTAATTCTTAAGAAGTCCAATTCTATTTGCTTCTCAGTATCATGGATGTTCTTGTAGAACATCGAATTGCTCCCACGCCGAAAATTGATTTCAGACATGTTTCTTAAATAAGCTCGCGGCGCAGAATGTTGTAATTTATACGACGAAGAGCAGTCTTCAAAATCGTGAAAATCCTAGACTGTCATTTTTTTCACCACAGTATTTGAACCAGTATCAGCGACAGCTTTGCAAAAATCTTCAAAGTCATACACTCGCTTGTTCTCCTTAAGTGATTGATCCACTCTATGGTGAAATTCATCGGCAGCCATAAAAGTATGACCAACTTCCAGATAACGCAGCACAACACTTTCAATATTTACACCCTTGGAATTGACTAAATATACTAAGTAGGAAAAAAGGCACCAATTTTTGTTTTGAGCCGCGCAGTTATCCAGCCACAAAATCACATTTTTGCAGTCCCGGTTTTCAAAGAAAAATGCGTGAAAGCAGCTAATTATGTCTTCCTTTTTTCTCCCTGCAATAGCTTCGTGCCATAAGACTCCCAGTGTTTTGCCAACTCCATGTAACCTTTTATATCTTCACAGGAACAAAACTCTGATTGAAAACGATAAGCCTTGGACAAAACATTACCGTTTTAAATTCTTCCATGCGAGGTAACATAATTACCTTTTCTAAATCAACTGCAAATATTATGGTGTCAGTACTTTTTTGCTTCATTTGGCTTTCAACATCCTCTTCATATTTTTTTCTCGCTGAAATGTACCTAGTGTGATGATCTTCATATTCTTGGCATTCTTCGCAGTTCCTGTGCCTTATTGCTGCGTTAGGGTTGTGAATAGAAAATTTTTCGCACAATTCACATTCCTCGTGTCCGAGCTTTGTTAAGGATATTTTAAGTTCATGTACGACATTCCTATAAAATCCATAGGACACATTTATTTCAGGCTCTTTCGCACAGTAATTGTCGTACATCATGCGGATATTGATATCCGAGGGCAAATATTTCCGGTTTGGTGCATGAACTCTCCTATAATGCGACACAACTGGACGAAAAGACATAATATGTTCTTTTACCTTTGTACTGTCTATTTGTGATGGATTCGGGTTATGACCTCGGCCGTCAGCAATAGGCTCTGCATATTGTGTTTTATAGTATGTGTCAATAATGTTCCTCACAGCCTTACAGTTACTTTTCTTGTAACCCAAAGTTGTGAGAAAAAACATTTTACATACCGTAACTTTCTCACCGTTTTCATCACATAAGAAATACGAAACAGTCTTAGTTCGATCATAGTGTTTACCATGCTCATCATCATGACTTTTTTTCTTTGGTCTTGCAGGCTTTTGCTGGATACTATTAGCTAAAAAAAAGTGTTTTTGTTCCGACCAAGACATTTTCCAGAAATTACGATTAATAATTTTGCGGTAATCCTCTGAGAATTTCGTTGAACATTTTTTTTTACAAATGTTCTCTTGGCATCCGGGTTTCACAAAATATTTGGTATATATTTTTTCTTCTCTTTTAATTTTCTTTCGTTCTTTAAGACTAACATCATATCTTTTGCGCTTTCTTAATGTCCCTTTTTTGTAAGTTCATCTTTTGTAGATTCATCTGAAGATTCTGAAATCGTTTTTTCCAAACACGGTTGAGAACATGGAATGACGTCTGATTCGGAGCCAGAATCATCCAATAAAATATTGGCTTCACGTCGTTCGTAGTTTTCATTATGACCCCTCATATTTAAGTTTTTAACCACTGATTGTTTTGAGCATTGAGCGGCAATAATGTACGTTTTGTGGTTTTTTGGTGGCTCATAATCTTTATCAGCTACTGAATCTGTTGAGATTACCTAGGTGTACGACCTAACCTACAAAGTTATGTACCTACCTACTTGAATTAGAAACACATGTCAACATGGATAAAACGTAAATAAACTTACCTAGCGCGGGCAGGCTGCTGACAAGCGTCGAGTCTTCGACGTCGCAGGCACAACTGGCGCGTTTCAATCAAACCCTGCCCTCCTTTCCTCACCCCTAATCGTAAATAATTTAAAGAAAAGGCACAACTAGTTATTTGTGCCTTTTATACGTAAATTAATTGAGACATACATGGATCATTAATTAAGTAGACAAGGCACATCTGGCATTTGAGCCTTTTCTTTATGTTATGTTGTAGGTGTGCCTTTTCAAAGTAGTTTTTAGAAAAAATCTGTATGAAGTAGTAGTCACATCTACGTATTTGTGCTTTATCAATATAATGGTAAATAAATGTGCCTTTTCGTTCTATAAAATATGAATATTAGTCTCATTTGTGCCTATTGAGCCTACTGTATCTCCGAATTCCTTGAAGATAAAATTCTACAAAAAATTGAGCAGATGTGCCTTTTTTTTCTGATTCTAAATATGTATATAACTCAATTTTCAAAAAAATGTTAGTCGTGCCCTTTTTTCTTACGACGGCAGTATTATCTTAATTCTAAGCCATCGGTGAATTTAGGCATCCAAAGATAGGAACCTTCTTACTATTCGAGCCGTATTGAATAAGGCTGATTTTTGAATTAATGCTTTCAGCCGTTTGCCCAAACCTAACTTGGACAGATAATCGTCCATATTTTTACCAATAAGTCCATTGACTGATACAACTACTGGTACAATAATAGTAGAATCAACATCCCACATAGCGACAATCTCATGGGCCAAGTCGATATATTTTATTTTTTTATCATTCTCTGCTTTTACGAGATTCTCGTCATGAGGAACACTGATATCCACTATTATTGCCTTGCGTGTAGTTCGGTCTATCACCACAATGTCAGGTTTATTTGCCACTATAAACCTGTCTGTGATAATTGACCGATCCCAGTACAGCGTGACACTTCTATTTTCAAGAACTGGTTTTGGTTCATACTTATAATAAGGAACATCCTGTTGAGTAAAGCCAAATTTAATGGCAAGCTGTTGGTGTATTATTCTAGCTACTTGGTTATGTCTGTGCAAATACTCACCATTTGATAGTTGTGAACAACCGGAAATAACATGTCTGAGGGACTCTCCAGGGTGGTGACATGCGCGACATACGTCAACTGTGCCGTCCCTCAAAATGTATTTCCGGTAGTTGTTCGTTTTAATTACTTCATCTTGTATTGCACAGATAAAACCTTCAGTTTCTGCAAAAAGGTCACCAAATTGTAACCAATGTACTGATGCAACCATGTCTACATAAGGATTCAGTCAATGCTTTAAAAAATCGACCACGCAGTTGTTTGTCATTCCAAACCTTTTTGCGTTCATCTATAGACATAGTATGAGGCCTCTGCCAGTCCTTTGCCGACATATTAAGCGGGGTTAATGATTTGTCATTAATCACTACGTCATTATGAATGTGTGATGTGTCTTTTTTTAATAAAATAGTCTCTGAGGTTGTATACTTCACGGTTGTGTAGGTTTTTAATGTTTAATAAGCCCCGTCCACCATCTTTTCTTGGAAGATACAACCTCATGACAGATGATCGTGGGTGATGCATTCTGTGCGTAGTCATTAATGTACAGACTCGTCTATCTAAGTCATCCAATTCCGTTTGAGACCATCTTGTAACACCAAAAGTATATAGAAGGCTAGGTATTACCCAGGAGTTATATGCTCTAATTTTGTTTCCGCCGGATAAATGACTTTTGATAACTTTTTTAACCTTGACATAAATTTTACTTTTGAATTTTCTTTAATATTTTTATCATTAATTCCTAGCGCTTCTGCCATGCCCAAGTATTTATAGGTTTCTGTTTCAGAAAGAGAACTGAATTGTAAGTAATTTTTAATTGCTAAATTATTACAATCTTTAATTTTGCCCCTATTTACATTGATGACAGCACATTTATCTATTCCAAATTCCATTCTAATATCATTGTTGAAACTATGTGTTAATTTCAACAATAATAGTAGATTACTCTCTTTTGATGTGAATAGTTTGAGATCATCCATATATAGTAGATGTGAGATCGGTGAGTTTTCTTTTCGAAACCGAAACCCTAATCCGAATTCCTCAATAGCAGTGCTTAAAGGATTCAGGGCTAAACAAAACAAAGTTGGGCTCAAACTATCGCCCTGGAATATACCCCGTTTAATATTTATAGAGTCTATTGAACTACTTTGCCATTCACCTGGTAGATTTAGAACAGTGTTCCACTGACCCATTAATTTACTGAAAAACTTACAAATTTTGTCATCTATTTTATATATTTCTAAAACTCTCTTTAGCCATGAATGTGGAACAGAGTCATATGCCTTTTTGTAATCCACCCGAGCAGCGGACATATTTTTGCGATTACGAAAGACTTGTCGACAAATAGCTGTGTCAATGAGAAGAAGTTCTTTACAACCACGTGACCCTTTCCGACATCCGTTCTGTGCAGTTGAAAGAATGTTATTATTTTCCAAATGTTTATAGATCTTGTTATTCAAAATTGCAGTTATTAATTTGTATACAGTTGAAAGGCATGTTATAGGTCGGTAATTTTTAGGTTCCGTGGTGTTTCCATTTTTATATAGTAAGTGGATAATACCAGTTGTAAGAAGTCTCGGGAGCTCACAGCACTCAATGGCTTCTTGAATCTGTGTAGCCAAACGCACGTGGCTACTTGTTATCCATTTTAGCCAAAAGTTGTGTATACCATCTGGTCCAGGTGATTTCCAGTTGTGTAATCTACGAGTAATTGAGTGTAGATCTTCAGCAGTAATTGAAATAGAACCCATGTTAGCCAATTTAGAAAACTTACGTTCGGTTGCACGAATCCATTCGCCTTCATTATGAGAAACTTCGTTAGACCACATACTTTTCCAAAAATTTAGACATTCATTTAAGCTTGGGCTGCCATGAGTACAACTATTAGTTGTAGTGTTCTCCCAAGACCGATACACCCACTTTTGGTTACTTTCGAATGTGCGATTCTGGAAGTACCGTTTAGATCTTTCTGAATATCGTCTAATACGGTTGGCCCATGCTTTTAACTTTTGTTTTTGTGTATCGATGAATTCAGTAATTTTATCCGGAAAATGGGGATCTGATTGGCTAATATCATTTTCATTAGCGATTTGATTTACTAAAGTAATTATTTTTTTACGCCTGTTACCTGTTTGGTAGCTTATTAATTTTCCTATAATTTTGCGAGTATTGTCAATTCGTTTTTGAATTCTTTGTTTCCATTTAGATCTGTATTATTTTTCTTAAAATTTTGTACTGAAATGACAGGAATTTTCATTATCATACATATAGCATGGGCACAACAGTATAGAAGAGACATAGTTTCCAAAATAGAGTTATTTTTTTTAAAATAATCTTTACAAAGAATATTCATTGATGCTACTGTTAGAAAAGTTTTTTTGTTGTTAGGAAGTTTAGGTAGTTTCGGTCTATTTTCTATTGGAGTATTTTTATATTCCAGAAGGGAACATTCGAAAGTCCTTTTCATATATTCGCTGTCTTGGGAACTCACATCTATATCAAAACAATTTTGCTCTACTTTTTCGTTATTTAAGTTAGTAATATTTATATTATGGTTACTGTTATTTTCATTTAAGTCATCAGTCTCACCTGGAAGTGTTCGTTGGGAATCAGGTATTGAATTGATAGTAGATATTGAGTACTCACTGCAAAGTTGTTCAATTAATCTGTCGTCCAAAATCTTACGACTTAGAATTACACGTACTTGATCTGAAAGTCTTTGGGCAGTTAAGTTTGTTAGGTTGGGTTGTAGCTGTTGGAATTCAAACAGCATTTTAGAGCGATAAGATGTAAGATTGGTTCCTCCTTTGGTAGCCTTATAGTACGCGCGCATAACACTTATATTTAATTCTTTAGTCCAGCGCATGCGTCGTCGCACTACACCATCAGTAGCGGGGTCCTCATGTAGGATGGTAATTCCTGCAGGTCCCAAGCCAGCCGTTGGCGCTCTTCGTCCCCTCAACTATTATTATTATTATTATTATGTGTGGGGTATCTATATAGTTTTCTCATCTGGTTGGGATGTATAAATATATAATTATAAACGAAAATGAAAGGATAAATATACATAAATATCAATAAAATAAAATAAATACAAAAATACATAAATAAATAAAAGCCCAACCAGATGGAAGCCCTCGGCAGGGGAGACCAAACGGCCAAGGGTTAGGGAGAAAGGGAATGAAACTGGCGGATAATGCGGGCAGTATCAAGGAGCACCGCCTTCCGCATTTGAGCCCGGAGCGGTCCGTCACGGAGTCCCAGTCGCCTCAGATGACCAGAGAGGCTAACTGGGATTAGCCCATTCGCAGAGACGACTACAGGAATAATTTCGGCCGGCAGACCACCCCACATGTCGGTCACCTCGTGAGCCAGGTCCAGATATCTTGATTGCTTATCTGTTTCGGCTCTCGCGAGGTTCTCGTCATACGGGATGGTAATATCGACCAAAAATATCCTTGACTGTGCCCGGTCCATCAGCACAATATCAGGCCTATTCGTAAGAATAGTCCTGTCTGTGATGATGGCCCGGTCCCAATAGAGCCTGGCGCGGTCATTTTCGAGCACGGCTTCCGGCAAGTACTTGTAATGCGGCAATTTCGGTCCACGAGACCGTATTTCAGAGCGAGCTCCTGGTGTAGAATTCTGGCTACTAGGTTGTGCCTGTGCAAGTACTCAGAGTTAGAAAGCGCCGGACAACCGGAGATGACATGCCTAAGTGACTCCCCGGGATGGCGACAAGCTCGACAGACGTCGACGGTGCCATCCTTTAGGATGTATCTCCGATAGTTGTTGGTCTTAATAACCTGATCCTGTATTGCACAGACAAAACCCTCGGTTTCCCCGAAGAGGTCACCGAAACGTAGCCAGTTGAGGGAGGCAATTGTATCTACGAAGGGCTCATGTAGAGCCTTGTAGTACCTCCCGTGGAGCTCCTTCTCCTTCCATACGGTCTCCCGGTCTGAATTGCTAAGCACTGCTGGGTCCTGCCATTGCTCGTTGGCTAAGGATAGAGGGGTAAGCCCTCTATCACTAGAAATGACGTCATTATAGAATGGATCATCCGATCTCGCCAAGAAGTACTGACGGAGACTGCACACTTCGCGATTATGCATGGTGAGCGCGCTTAGGAAACCACGCCCACCATGCTTTCGCGGAAAGTACAGCCTCATTACCGACGATCTCGGATGATGCATCCTGTGGGACGTCATGGTAGTGCGGACTTTTCTATCCAGGGCGTTAAGTTCGGTCTGTGTCCACCTGAGTATGCCAAAGATATATATGAGGGCAGGCATGACCCAACCGTTATATGCGTGTGTCTTATTCACACCGGACAAAAGGCTGTTAAGCACTTTGGTCAAGCGTGCATAAAACACGTCGCAAACTGACTGTTTCATACCAGCCTCTTCGATACCGATGTTCTGTGACATACCCAGGTATATTATTATTATTATTATTATTAGAATTCTGGCTACTAGGTTGTGCCTGTGCAAGTACTCAGAGTTAGAAAGCGCCGAACAACCGGAGATAACATGCCTAAGTGACTCACCGTGATGGCGACAAGCTCGACAGATGTCGACGGTGCCATCCTTTAGGATGTATCTCCGATAGTTGTTGGTCTTAATAACCTGATCCTGTATTGCACAGACAAAACCCGTTTCCCCGAGGAGATCACCAAAGCGTAGCCAGTGGAGGGAGGCTACTGTGTCTACGAAAGGCTCATGTAGAGCCTTGTAGAACCTCCCATGGAGCTCCTTCTCCTTCCATACGGTCTCTCGGTCGGAAATGCTCTGCACTGCCGGGTCTTGCCATTGCTCGTTGGCTAAGGATAGAGGGGTAATTCCTTATTATTATTATTATTTTGGGGTATCTATATAGTTTTCTCATCTGGTTGGGTGCTATAAATATATAATTATAAATGAAAATGAAAAGACAAATATACATAAATATCAATAACATAAAATAAATATAAAAGTACATAAATAAATAAAAGCCCAACCAGATGGAGGCCCTCGGCAGGGGAGACCAAACGGCCGAGGGTTAGGGGGAAAGGGAAAGAAACCGGCGGACGATGCGGGCGGTATCGAGGAGCACCGCCTTCTGCATTTGAACCTGGAGCGGTCCGCCACGTAGTCCTAGCCGCCTCAGATGACCCGAGAGGCTGACTGGGATTAGCCCGTTTGCAGAGACGACTACAGGAATAATTTCGGTCGGCAGACCACCCCACATGTCGGTCACCTCGTGAGCCAGGTCCAGATATTTTGTTTGCTTGTCTGTTTCGGCTTTCACGAGGTTCTCGTCATACGGAATGGTAATGTCGACCAAAAATATCCTTGACTGTGCCCGGTCCATCAGCACAATATCAGGCTTATTCGCAAGAATAGTCCTGTCTGTGATGATGGCCCGGTCCCAATAGAGCCTGGCGCGATCATTTTCGAGCACGGCTTCCGGCAAGTACTTGTAATACGGCAATTTCCGATCCACGAGACCGTATTTCAGAGCGAGCTCCTGGTGTAGAATTCTGGCTACTAGGTTGTGCCTGTGCAAGTACTCAGAGTTAGAAAGCGCCGGACAACCGGAGATAACATGCCTAAGTGACTCACCGGGATGGCGACAAGCTCGACAGATGTCGACGGTGCCATCCTTTAGGATGTATCTCCGATAGTTGTTGGTCTTAATAACCTGATCCTGTATTGCACAGACAAAACCCTCGGTTTCCCCGAAGAGATCACCAAAGCGTAGCCAGTGGAGGGAGGCTACTGTGTCTACGAAAGGCTCATGTAGAGCCTTGTAGAACCTCCCGTGGAGCTCCTTCTCCTTCCATACGGTCTCCCGGTCGGAAATGCTCTGCACTGCCGGGTCTTGCCATTGCTCGTTGGCTAAGGATAGAGGGGTAAGTCCTTTATCACAAGAAATGACGTCCTTATAGAATGGATCATCCGATCTCGCCAGGAAGTAATCACGGAGGCTGCACACTTCGCGATTATGCATGGTGAGCGCGCTCAAGAAGCCACGACCACCATGCTTCCGCGGCAAGTACAGCCTCATTACCGACGATCTCGGATGATGCATCCTATGGGACGTCATTGTAGTGCGGACTTTTCTATCCAGGGCGTTAAGTTCAGTCTGAGTCCACCTGAGTATGCCAAAGGTATACATGAGGACAGGCATGACCCAGCCGTTATATGCGTGTGCCTTATTCACACCGGACAAAAGGCTGTTAAGCACTTTGGTCAAGCGTGCATAAAACACGTCGCAAACTGACTGTTTCATACCAGTCTCATCGATACCGATGTTTTGTGACATACCCAGGTATCGGTATGTTTCAGCCTCGGAAAGGGTCCTTAAGTTGACGGGCATAGATAAGTCTACGCCCTCAGAGTTAGCAACCCTTCCCCTTTCAACATGGAGGACCGCACACTTATCCGTCCCCAGCTCCATTCCAATGGAATTGCTAAATTCACAAGTGATGTTTAGCAATTCCATAAGATGGGAGCGACTGGAGGCGAATAACTTGAGGTCATCCATATAGAAAAGGTGGGTCACTTTTGTCCCTCCTTTCCGTAGCTGAAATCCCCTCCCGGAGCCCTCCAGTAAGGTACTGAGAGGGTTCACAGAGAGGCAGAACCAGATTGGACTCAGACAATCGCCCTGGAAGATACCCCTTCTTATCCTTATGTGGTTCTCCGCAGCCATCATCCGCTCGCCTAGATGACAAAGGATCGTACTCCACTGCCCCATACACTGCTCGAGGAAGTCTCTAACTGTACAGTCTATCTTGTACAGCTCGAGGACTCTCTTTAGCCATGTATGGGGCACCGAGTCGAATGCCTTTCTGTAGTCTATCCAGGCGGCGGAGAAGTTCCGACGGTTGCGTTTCACCACTTTGCCAATGACCGCGTCAATGAGGAGTGGTTCCTTGGTTCCACGACCACCGCCCCGACATCCATTTTGAGCGCGCGACATCACCTGATTTGAGTCCAGGTGACAAGTGATTCTCGCGCTCAAAATGGATGTTAGTGTCTTGTATATGGTCGGTAGACACGTGATGGGGCGGTATTTGCTCGGGTCTGTGGTATCCTGGTCTTTAGGAACCAAATGAGTGATCCCAGTAGTGAAGAGGCTTGGGAGCGACTTCTGGTTGAGAGCCTCTTGAAACTGTCGGGCGAGCACAGAGTGACACACCATGAACCCCTTCAGCCAGTAGTGATGCAGCCCGTCAAGCCCCGGACTTTTCCAGTTCGGGGCCCTACGAACCGCCTCAGCTACGTCATCCGGCGTTATGATGACGGGGTCCATGGGCGTAATACCCGCACACTGACTCGCCACAACTTCCGTCCAAGGGCCCTCGCTGTGGTTTACGGGCTCTGACCACAGGCCGCGCCAGAATGCTACAGTGTCGGCCTGATTCGGTGCTGGACCCGTTCCACTTACCATTGGTCGCTCCAATGATTCATAGAGCCTCTTCTGATCACTCTGGAAGAGACGATTCTGGTTGAACCGTGTCGACCTCTCGGTATATCGCCGAATCCGCTTTCCCCAAGCAGCGATTCTCTGCTTCAGATCATCTATGCGCTCCGTCAGTTTTTGCGTTATATCCGGCTGGGACAAACTGACATTTGTCCCAGCAAACGCCATCCTGACGGTGCGCACAATTCTTGGCCTGTTGTTGCCTGATCTGAAGCATATCAGTCTGCCGATGAGAGCTCTAGCCTTTGCGATACGTTCCTCAATTCTTCTTCTCCATGCTGGGATAGCGCTACTATGGCCAGTAGCGCGTCCAGCCGTGGAAACCTTGGCGCCTATGATACGGCAGACTGCCAGCGCGGCGCCAAAAAGAATTGAGTCCGTCTCGCAAAGGTCCCGGCTGGCTTTCAAATAGGTAACCAGCATTGGGTTCAGAGCCCTCACGACAGCCCGATTCCGCTTGCTTAGGGCTATGCGGGGAAGTCGCGGTCGATTTTCGAGAGGCGTACTGCGCGTTTCCACAATCGCCTCTTCCAATATACTCCTCATATGCTCTAATTCCAGTTCCTGGGCGACTGTTCCATCATCGTTATTATT